TTTAGAACATTATATGTACAAAAGAATAAAATAAGACTAAGACCTAATTAATTAAAATGTTAAAATTAAAATATAGATTAAATACATGTTTTTTTTTGAGATGATCGATTAATTACAATAAATTTTGGTTATTGATGTAAAAATATGTAATTAGTTTAGTACATTAACAATTTAAAAAAGGAGTATGTTAAAATACGAAACTGATAGGCGTTGAAACGTTGATATTTCGAACTCATGACCTCCTTATTTATTAGATCATGGTTAAACATATTTACATTGCTCATTCTCTGTAATAAACACTTAAATGTCGTTCTTATCTTTAGGAATACTCAAAATATACGAATAAAACAGACATCGAAATAAAAATAATGGCACAATATAAATATAATACAAGAAAGACAGTTTTTCATCATCAGTTGCCAACTTCCATGAGAAGAATTAAAGAAGACAGAAAAGAGAATGTTGATTTTCATAAGAGTTCGCACTCTTTCAAAGTATTTTACAAAATCAATTTGTTATTTTTTACAATATTTTGTTACGAAGTTTTTTTAACTAGCTGTTCCCGTGCGATTTCATCAGAATAAAATTATTTTATTGTTTACACGTGTCAAATTGTCAATTGCAAATGTCAAAATAAGATATGACATGATAAAACTTGGCAATCTTGCTTCCTTGATGTTGGCAGCAACTTATAGTCTCTTTCCCACATTAGGGTTTTAATCCAAAATAAAGCGTATATAAGTGTAGGGCTTTTTATTAAAAAATTAATTATTCAAAAATATGATTAAATTGCTGACATCTTAGGCAACAATGAAGTGTATGTTTACGCTTTATTATTAGTATAGATATAGTATAGAGTATAGATAGTATAGATGTAGATTTTTTAATTGTATTTATTTGATTTCATCTTCGGATTCCTTCTAGTATACTGTGTTTACCTTTAACCATAGTTATCAACTATATTATTGACCCTTTAAAGTTATGGATCTAGATAACCTGGTAGTTTTGACGACACAAATTACCCATTGTGTTGCGAAACGCCTTCCGACTGATATTGTTTAAATTCAAATAAAGCAAGAACATTGTAGCGACTGTATTCATTACACGATGAATATTCACACAATTTGAAGGTCGGTCGATGTCCTCAAGTACCAGTAATTGATTAAACGTATTGGATACTTACTTGACGATATTTTTAATGCGACCTCTTTCCGACGACTGTCTGAAACAAAAAAAGTAATTTTGTTTAATAGAATAATACACTAATTTTAAAACTATCTATGACTCATTATAAAGTTCGAAACCCTTATTAAAATTTTTCACGTATATAACGTTTTGTAGGTATTAGCAATTTTTATAGTCGGTATGGAGATCCCTTGTCCACTATCGCTGTTGGTGGCCATCGTAGAGTTTATACGGTGCAAGCTCGACATAACTTATCTATATCCCAGTAAGATAAGTATACGTTAGGTTTTCCCGTGTTGATAAATAAATAAAAACGCTTTAGCAACTATACGCTAAATAAATTCCTATTGCGACAACTTATATAGTATTTTCTTTTAGTACAATTCTTCAAATATTTTTATAAGGAATGTAAACTGCAAGATTTTTCCCTAAGTCTTCGAAATTAAAGAATGTGAACTGTTGCTTGAGTCCATGTTTGTTCTACCAAAACAAACTAAATACTTGCTATAATTGTAATGAAAACTGTGGTTCTAGGTTACACAAACATCTATCAATATGCCAGGAGACTGAGTGCACCTGTGCAAAGTATACTCGAGTGAAAATAGTAGGCTGTGACGTCACGCGGTAATGAAAGTGTTGAAATATGAACGTAACCCATTTGTGTAGAGGTTATGAATGCCAGAGCGGAGAAACACATTGAATGACGTTAATGAGGGAAGTTAGCCATTTTTTATTAACTCTAAATAGTATTATGTTTTAACTAACTGTTGCTCGCATCTTCGCCCGCGTAAAATTAATAAATAATAAAAATTATCGCCTATGTTACTCACTGATACCGTAGCTTTTTAATGGTAAAAGAATTCTAGAAATCGGCCTAGTAGTTTTTGAACGTTTCAATACATACAAAAATACAAACATTTCCTGTATATAATATTAGTACAGACTAAAAAAAATACAATCAAACTTACATTCCTAGAGTAGACTAGCAATGACCAAAGTATGTGCATTAGAAAATAAAAAATAGCCTATTTCTAAAGATAAAATATACGTAGAGAGGTTACTTAATATAAATTACGTTGTATAACATAAGCAATACTTTTCAAGTTTTCTCGATTTATATTATTTCCGAGAAAGCTTCCTAACAGTTCAAGTCGGGGAACTATTCAATATCCTAAGTACGCTTTACGTCAACGTTTTATTTCTGTCGAGGTAAAAGTTTTACATTGAAATTGTATAAAAATAGCGAAATCAATAGTACTGTACGGTTTCAATAATAAGTTGCGACTAAAGATGTTTTGAATTTGTTTTAAAAGGTAGTTCTGTTTGTGCTCTGAATGTCAATTTGAGTCTACAGAGATTTCCTTTTAGAAACTTAAGCGAGTGTCTGCCGGCTAATTGAAGAGGCTTACTGGAGTACGACTCGCTTTGTTATCCTATGACCGTATTTTTAAAAAAGTATTCGTATGAAATACTCAGTAATATTTACAATAACATTCTTATGAACTTGTTATCTTTACTTTAGATAATAAAAAACAATATTCTTATTTTTTGTTTTACAAGAGGAACCTCATGTTAGTGTAACGTTTGGTTCGCACTTGGCCAGTTAAGTTAGACAGTAGCAATCAATTACTG